GAAGAGATAGAGACCAATCTCTATGTTAATTTTACTAAGCTTTCCACTTAGTGCTGAGTGTTTGCTGCTAATAAATTTCCCTACCGAATCGTTCCTTTGCTTGAGAACTGCAGTAGCAACGCGTACTTCTTCTAAAGAATCTCTCAGTTCTTTTATTTAACACCGCGTAGTACATTTCCCGTAAATACGTTTCTTATGAGGACTATGGCAATGAAGTAAGAGGAATTGAGTAAATGACTTATATGCTGGATGTTTACTTAAGGAAAGGTTAGTAACCGAAATAAACCACAAAGACTGAAGATCCACCACCTACAGTTGTTGGCCTCTAAGTATCGCGTTAAGTAATCTTTCTGCTTCTCTACCCAAAAATCTATTCGCCATGAGCGATTAAATATTGCAGTCGTTCTGGACATCGCTCTCCTCGGGGTCTCCTGTTAATCGTCACAGAGACAACGAAAGCTTCTTTCACCGCATAAGGTAGAGTAATAGCGATTATTGAAGTGTTGAACATGATGGTCTAGTAGTAATCGGTCCTGAGGAACCACAATGATGGACGCAAGACGACTGACCTAGCGATGTATTTGCTCAGTGATGAACTTTCATACTAATCCCTATACATAGACTGATGTGTCATCAACATCTCACGCCACTTCGAAGTGATTTCGAAGGCGATTTTTGTTGAGGTATTGAACGACACTGCCTATATTCACAAACTGGGAAATGTATAGAGCTAGCCCGGAGCCCAAACTAACACATCGAAAGCCACTTGTTCCCATCTTTCAATTCCTCGTAATATGTTACATTTGAACAATCTTGATATTGTGCCCAGTAAGAGGATGAGGGATAAAGGACTAAGTGTTCGGTGTTGATCAATCCCTGACGGATGCGCCATTTACCCGACTCCATCAAGCATCTTTATAGGTTACTGAGTGTGCGGATATTTCTGGAACAAATTCACTAGAAATAATCCGTTTTCAGGCCCGAATCGGCATCTTATTTCATAATATGTTTATTCTAGGCAACAAAGAATATTGGAAGGATCGCGAATTCTGCGCTCTATTGCTGAAACGTTGCTCAGAAAACTCTTGTGTGGAAACTCTACACATAGTAATTAAATCTACGACATTTTTTTGCGAAATTAAAAATCAGTGGCTGAGATTTGATGTTCTACCCGGTCTAAAGGATTGTTCTTCATTTCTTTCTTTCCATACTAGTGAAAGTTTATGGAAAATGTCTCTACCTAAACTGAGTCTTTGAATATCCCATACTTATGGCAATGGATTTTTTCACCCTTATTGTTTTCTTGGTGCTGTCTTTTCTGTAGATTTCCACCTTATCTGAAATATTTAGGCCTTCGAACTAGTACTCTGTCAGTGCCGATGTCCTTTTTCCTCATTCACTACCAACAGCTAAGTTGCTCGTCCGTTGATTATTCTAAACGTCGAAATATTCGTGCTTGCGTTTTCGTCGCACAAGGATCCGTTTCCTTACAGTGGACACTGAGAACGGTGGACTTGACGATAACCAGGAAAACCGTCGAGTCTGACTTTGCGTTTTCCTACAGTGGACTCTAAGGTCGGCAGTCTAGATGATATCCGGGATAATCGTCGAGTTCGGCTTTACGTTTTCTTACAGTGGACTCTGAGGACGGTGGAGTCGATGATATCCAGGACAGTCATCGAGTCCGGCTCTAATGTGGTCACGGATATTGCCTCAAAACTTTACGTCGCGTCTATGTTGTTTGAATATTTTAATATCATTCATCATTTTGTGCGTCAATTATCTAAATCTTATGGTTTTTCTCACCGGTTAGTAGTTCTTGTGTTGAAGTGAACATCATTGGAACTTAAGATATACAGTTCTACGTACGTCAGGGATTTTCTAAGTAGAACGTTCTTGATGGATATAAGACGTGTTGCCTAAGCCTTTCAGGGGATATATTATGTCTCACTTAGCTCCATTTCTATATCCATCTTATCACCCCTGAATCACTAACGTGTTTACTCTTATATCGATTAACGCGATGAAGTCATACTGTCATGTTGTCATTTCTCGTGAGGTCTCCTCGGGAAAGGTTGTGGAGCGCTCAGATGCAAGTTTTACTTTTACTCTTCATCTTGGTCTTCTTCTGCCGGCTGAGTATATTCTTTGTAAATCTGACTCTATTATTTTCCACATTCTGAGCGTTCCTTATATTTCCTAGATGTCTTTTCTCCCATATTTTATGAGATGTTGATGTTTATGATGTTTATGTCCCCAATTTTATAGTGCCATGGTGTTTAACTCGATGATTTTCAGTAGCACAGTTTTGTAGTAAATGGTACTAGTTGCTCGACTGGGGTGAGTGGTACGTTATTCGTGCAGACAAGTGTAGTGGAACTCGAATTTGTCTTCTGGATTTTCATATCTTGTGAGACGTTCATACTGCTAGCAATGAAATCCCAAGGATTAATTTCCCAGTGGCGCGTTCAACACTTAGGAAAGGATTAAAAAACAGAGAATGTATGACTAAGCGATTAGTGGTAAATCTAATACGACGATTCTGCATCCTCTCAGAAGTAGACCGATTGATTCAGTATGCTCAGGAAAAGGGTGCTGTTCGTTCAAACATCATATATTCTTGCATTTTGCTAACATTCCAGTGGTACACTTCTGGACCTAATCTGACCCTTGCGAATGTGTCAACTACTTGTAGTCATCGTTGTTGGTGTGATTACTTCTGTCGTTTCCTTCTTTATTTTTAAATCTCAAGCCCGATCTGATGTTTCGTGCTCACCATCATCACATAGGTTATCATTTTGCCTTGGATTCTCCCAATTCTAGAAGACGGCGAATCTCTGTCAGTGGTTCTTGACGTTCTGTCCGGCCCCATGCGGCATGCAAAAAACCCGGCCGCAAACCGGCTCCGAACTTTTTCGTCGTTTCACGCTATTTGACACTTCGCTGATTACATCGCTGTATTTCACATGAAGACTATTTCGTTTTCTAGTCGAAATACATTTGAAATTCATTTATGGCTTGATTGAGGCCATTGCAGGTTTCAGGATAGTATACAAACCTCTACAATGTTTATCCTCGTTTGGACACAATCGATTTTGAGATGTTCCGTGTTTTCTTTTTCCTGCTTTGCTTCGTTTTACGTTATTTAGTCGTTGCTTTCTATGATTTGATTCCAAAGTCTAGAATTCTAACTATAAACAACTTCACGTTTTCTTAGATTCTGTGCTTCTGTGGAGTATCGAAGCTGTCGTTGGTATGGTAAATTCCTTTAGTAGCGGTACAATCTTTATGATTAATCAAGGTAAGTACTTTTCTCGCTGACTCATACACGAACATTATGCAGTACTGTGTTACGGGGAATTTTAAAATTGATTGATAGTTCGTAGTTCATAGTTACTAAATATTCTGCCCCATCTAAGTGAAACTCCATTGTATGTGTGAAAGAGATCCAAACAGAAATTGCATATTTCGATACTTGGATGGCCGGCCCTCACTGTTTGTGCGGGTCCCAGCATAATCTCCATTTCATCGGGGTTTTGTTGATTTATCTATTGTGGTTCCTGGAGTCTCAAGGTCAGTCAAGCCAAAGTTTGCTCTAGGTCGTCACTACCGCAGGCAGTCGCTGCCTGCCTTTGTGGATCAGAGGGAGATTTCCAACCAGGAGACTAGTTTGATACCAGGACGGTGATGGATCTTGGTATTGGTTCGCTTAGCTGGCCTTCGTGATGGAAACGCCCTACTCAGCTAGGGAGACCGTGCTGAGTAAGTGAATCACCCCCACTATAGATCGCACTCCGACACCCAGGAACACCTTCTAACCACGTAAATCGGTGGGAGGGTTTTAAACGAGAAGAGATGTTAATATCAAGAATGGGTAAATGTTTTTTGTTCAAGTAGTTTTTTTTAAGCTGAGCGAAGCTTTTTAAGAGTAATGCTGTTATATCTAGCAGTACTCATGTTATTATGCTATTGATATACGAGAAATTTCTACTCTTGCATGAATGTGACATCGTTCGTATCCCGGGTTCGTTGACAGTGTTAGGGTTCGATTTGTTCTTGTTTCCTATATGCCATTTCGGTCACTGATTATATGTTTATCACATCTACCTAAATCTACTTGGGCGATAGCAATACGTGTTTTTTGGAAACGTAGAAAGTAGAGGCTACTTCGAGTATGTTTAAGATGAAGCCAGAAATCAAGCGATATTTTCCCGCCCGTGAACGATTGCGCACCGATGATTTTATTGAGTTTTGGCTCACTTTTAATCAGGTTGGTACGTTTTGAAACCACATTTTCTCTTGTATTGGTTATCAGTGTCTGATACCTTATTTATCCTTTGCTCAGATATTCATGTATGTCTTTTCTTTTCTATTCTACTGGCTTACTTGGACACCTGGTTGGCCCATCCTCACTGGTTCTGCTAGTCCCAACATATTCTCCACTTTTTCGGAGTTTTGCTGGTTTAGCCATTGTTGTTTTCTGGAGTCCTGAGGTCAGCCTAGCAGAAGTCTGCCCCAGGTCGTCACCACCACAGACAGTAGTCGCCCTGGTGGATCAGAGGGAGATTTGCCACCATGCGACTAGTTTGATACGAGGACGGTGGTGGATCCTGGTATCGGTTTACTCTTAACTGGGGTTCCTGATGGGAACACTGGACTCCTTAGCGTGGGATCCCTTGATGTGGGATGAATTGCGGAGAATTCTATTTCTGGGGTTCTTCATAAAATTCAAGTGAAGAAACGAAAGAGGATTTTATCGCTATGTTTATTGTATATCACAGAAGGCTGAAATTGCAACCAAAAGTTTTTCATATATGCTTCCAGTAAAGAGAGTCGATGGTTTTCGGTTCTGTGTGTTGTCAAATGTTTTTTTACTTTAGCAACCCGGTTATGTTCCGACAGTGAATCAGCCTCCTAAAACCGTGCACTTCGATTCTCCCCAGTCCTATGGTAGGGCTTTATTTTTTCTATGACTTAGAGCTCGTAAATTTTCACGACGAATGTTTTTATGTGATACATCGGACACATCAACATCGCAAAGCAGTCTAACTGAGAAGCCAAAGTATCTCAATGGAGGGTAAGCCAACGAAACTATTCTTAAAACAATTTGGAGCAATTTATGGTAGTGTCTAGAAACAGCACATAACATATTTCTTCTTTTAAACGGTGAACGTTTTTAATGGTCATCTTGCTGTCATGAACAATATTGCTACCACATTGTTAACCTTTTATTTTCTGCCTACTATAATTTTTCATGGCAGTGTATTACGCGAAAACAACCACAACGATGCTGAGATATTCGCAAAACCTGGATCCCGGGCCAGATCGAACGACGATTACCATTTCCGGGGCTCGCTTATTACGCACTTCACAACCGTGGTCCTTACTCTACATTTCTCTGAACTAGTTTTCTCCTATCGCTGCCATCAGCAATCATCCGTATTGAAACCAATTTTTCCAGCTATTTCTCGGAATATATCACAGTCATTAGCATTATTCACCGCTGTTGCTGTGAATCTGTGAATGATGCTTATCGTCTTCCAAATTCAATAGATCGACCAGTTTTAATTTTTACTTTCTTATTGACTGATTTCCATAGCCTTCCCAATCACTCAAGTCTTAACTTGGTTCCACATTAACCCGAGTATGTCTATAATCTGTAGAGTATAGACCTTCAGTGTGGTATTTTACCCTGGTCCGTAAATGACTAACAAACGTCGCTGTGAAAGTCAGTGTCCATTTTCGTTTAATGGGTTATCTGATACGCCCCTATAGATGACTTGTGCACATCAAGACATCTCATGACAAGGTACAGAATAGAAGCGTGTAATGTTCTGTTTATGGCTGCATAGCATATTCTATGCACTAGTCACATGAATCTCAGATAACCCGGATAATGCCTATTCCGCGGTATCGAGCGGCCCACTCCTTTGAATACCCTTGTTTCATAGTGCAAGAATTCCCACTTGTTCAGCTATTTTTTCCTTTTTTATTTTGCGGCGATACATTTTTTCTCCATATTAATGATAAAGGATAAAGCTGTCGGCGTTGGTCAATCCCTGAGGGTTGCGCCATGCATTCGACTTTATTAAGAATCGTTTGGAGGTGATTGAGTGTATACCTTGCCTTTACAATGACTCGCGATGGCCTATCGATGTATCGAACCAGTGCTGCTATCCTTCCAGAAAAATCTGCTACCAATTTACCGACCCCGCAGGGATTGAAGGCTTGGTGGGCCATAGGTGCGGGGGTCGATTGCACGTGTGTGTTACAGAGCGCTTCCAACCACTGCGCTTCACGCGCCCTTTCTCCATATTATTTTAAGAAAAAGTATGCATCTGTTGTTCTTGAGCTGTGTTGTCTTGATACAATCCTCAGACGTTCTTCTCGGAGATGTTCCGTTGCTTCTACCGCTATTTTCCTTATGATTTTGCAGATATGGATGGGTCGTTGTTGGTTTTAGCTTTGTTCTTCATTTTATCGCCGATGGACTTTCATTCAGCTTCGGTGTTTTGTTTCCAAAGATACAAGAGGTAATTCACACTTTTTGATATTTCTGGGTCTATGTGGAAATACCATGCGACCGTTGTAGCGTTTTGAAGCGAAGCGTTTTGGTGCGAGCTCTGTAGCTTCCTTATTCTTATCTCTTCCTCTACTTCTTGGACCTATCGCAGGATTTATAACGGACGTCTGTGACTGCAAGTAAGTCAGTAGTGCTCGGTGTTTAGGTGTGTTACAGTTGGTATCCAGTATCCCTTGATGGTTGTCTTCGAAACATAATTTTCTCCGTTTGATACTGGTCAAATAGTAGTGTTTAGCAGTGAACGTCTAATGAACATAGGTAGAATGGAAATTTGTTTAGGAGGACGATTCTGATTGGAGGGGTCATTTGTTGCATCGGTGCAATAACTTCTTATTTTTGTCAATCAATCATATTATTTACGCTTTGCTTTGGTGGCTTTATCGGAGTGGGTAAGTCACTTCCATTTTATTAGCTTTGTTAAAAACGCTTTATCGTTGATGATTTGTGAAATTGAGGTCTTTCGCTGGTATACAATGCTGCAATAGTTATCGTCACTTACAATTTTGAACTAAGAAGAGGAGTGGCTACTGCTTTAGCAGTTTCGGGTACTGGTGTCGGAACCATTGTGTTCCCACTATTTCTCAAATTTGTAAGTTGTGTTCATCCTCCCTAGGACACCACATATCCCATCCAATGGTCCGAGAAGACAGGAATTTGGGCTGTTGCATCATGATGTGGTTTTTTTCAAAGATTTCCTTAGCACACTTCAAAATTTGAGGCTCAGTGCGAGCTTCGCATGAGTTGTTTTGTTACAGTTTGTTCCTGAGGATGGTACGGACATAGGTCCTGCGATCATTGCGATATCTCTCGTCCTGTCTATTATTATTATTATTGGCCTTGTTGTAAGAGATGTTGAGTGGCAGAGTGACAGTCCAGAATACAAGGTTATAGAGTTCATTAGTTTCACGTTTTTTTTTTTTCCAGTTGTGAACTAAATATGTTCTATTATAATGAAAATCGGTGATGTACCTTATTTTTCTTCTTTAGATGAAAATGTTTCGTCGAAAGTTGAAGAAATTACGGGAAAATGAAGAAAACATGAAGAATCTCAGTTTTGGCAGAATGGTTGGTATCATATTTATTTGCGTTTTCTTTGAAATTTCTGAATCTAACATCCTTTTCATTTTCGGTCAAAATTGAAGATACGTAACTATTCTGGTTTTGGGATCAGTCTTGGTTTTGGAATTGTTTCTTTTACTAATGTTCCCCTCCCAGCGATTTGCCGCGTCATCGTGGCTCGGAGGTGTTGCTGGGTGTCGGGCTGCCATGTTCAGTGGGCGGATTCATCCTCCCTACAAGGTCTCCCGAGCTGAGAAGGAGCCCGACGTTTTCATTAGGAAGCCCGGCTATAAGTAAACCAATGCTTGGATCTACTACCATGTATCAATCTAGTTGCATGGTGGCAAATCTCCCTTTAATCCACAAGGGCTGCGACTTCCTGTGTTGGTGACGACCTTGGGCAGACTTTGGCTAGATTGACGTCGGGACTGCAGGGAACCACAATGGCTAGACCAGCAAAACTGCGAAAACGGGAAAGTATGCTGGGGCCTGCGTAATCAGTGAGGACAGGCCATCCAAGTAATGTTCCAGGCATGGAATTGTTTTTAGAGTTCAAGTCATATGATCTTGAGTACTTAGGTGGGAAACTGTTACTGAAATACGATTGCTTTGTATAAATGACTGTAGTACAACCAAGCCATTCTCTGGTTTTAGCATGACTGTTACGAGACGGGACAACGTCCTAATTTTTGTGGTTTTCAGTGAACTTACCCACTTATTCTTTATAGAATGTTAAAATTTTTTGAATATCTGGTTGTTTATGTGTCTAAGTTCTCAGCGTAGGATGTTCTTGTGTGCAGCACCATAATTTTAGTATCAGGATATCCAGCCACGTCGTGCTTGTTCTCTTCCTTTGATTCCTTCGTATTTTCAAGCGTTCATTAAGAAGTCTGAGTTTAACGCCGAGGTAATCTGTCTTATTATCTCTCTTCTGTGGTTGTTCTTCAGGAATATTTTTTAGGAAGTTAAAGATGTCGTTTCCGCCCTTCAAGATCATCCACCACGGTCTCGATCAGTAGGAACCTTTATGAATAGAGCGCCAACTACAGAATTACCTGCTGTTCCAGAGTTTTCAATGCTTGGCGGGCACCTGAAGAACCTTGAGCACCTCGATCTTCACGTAAATACTTTATCCATTTACAAATGAATTTTACATTGTAGGAAATTTATTCGGTTTCTTTTAATTCAAAATATGGATGTCGTGTGAAACCAGCTAAGGAAGTGTTCGAATGTAGTGTGCATGAGGAAATTCTACATAGTTCGGGATAAACTTATTTTAATGAAAAGAAGATGCGCTCACATATCGCTCACAAATCAGTGCATTTGTGGGAAGCGGTGAGCAATACATTATTTATTTGAAAAAACATCAGAAAACGCAAAACGGTTGTGGAGTTGTCGTCAGTACAATTATCATCAAAGTTTAACACGTTTTCAACAATCACCGCAGTCTTTTCGGCGGTTTCGGTTTCTCGTTTAAAGTCTTGTAATTACATTAAAGGGTATACGCAGCGTTTATTCTGTAAGTGAGAGCTGGATATGTTTTCAGCTCGATAACTCTCCATGTACTACCGTATACTGCAAGCCGAAGCGTCGTAAGAGAACGATGAGTGTGGACGCAATTGGTGATCTCGGCGACGAGTGCGAATATCAGTTCGTAAATCTGTGCGTTTCTACCTTCAGATAGATCTGCGTTGACTTTAAACAGGCAAATCAAAACGGATTCCTACGACCGACTTTCTATTAACCTCGGCATTGATCGAACAATTCTTCATGTTCTTGTTTAGCAAACACGAGGTGTTATTTTATTCCTTTATTTACGCACAAGTGACTTTTCGGCAGAATTCGCCTTCCTCAAGACCTGTAAAGGTGAAGTTGACCGCAATCTGAGGGACGCGAAATCCACCGAAACGTCAGCTTTTGCGTAAATAAGGAAATAAAGTAATACCTCGTGTTTGCTAAACAAGAATATAAAGGATTAGATGGATGTGTTTTCCGGAATCAAATTCTGATCATCGATTCTGTTTCAGAGTTCTTTATCATATTTACCTTCCATTTTCTGCTTGAGTAAATTCATGTCACTAATTCGTTTGTTTTAATTTTATTCCGTCAGTTCGTTTCAGCGTAATGGAACGCAACACCAGTAGTGATGAACTTCTGGAAAATGAAGATTTGTCTAGCAGTTCAGACTCGAAGATGTCAAATGATGGAGATTCTTCGAGTTCAGACCTTTCAGATAAATGTCTAAATCAAGTGAGGAAGGGTTTTCTGCCGTTTTTCATACTGTGGAAAATTAGCGCTTGTTACCGGTTTTCCACTCAGGTTGACCTTTGCTAGACGTGGTTAGTTAACTGTTTTTTAGTATATGGTGATTTTAAAGCAAGTGAAAGTAAATGCAAAAACAGCTGTTGGTTTTGCTAAAATAATGTGATGTCTTGTTGTGCTCCAGTTAGTGAGAGATGCATTGGTTTTTGAACCACTGGCTAATATTTTAAAATGATAACGTTACCACTGCAACATTACAGGGAAGTGGTTAACATCCTCTTACTTGATTACACTTTTCTATGCTTTATTTTCTTTCCAGAATTTTGTTGCGGTTTACTTTAAGAGTTTTTTCCTTGTTTCTCATTAATGCGAAGCTCATTTGATCTAACATATGGAAAATTCGTCATATTTAACTATATGTTCGACTCAGCAATCTCTGCTTTAGATTAACCGAAATCATATCAACATCGAGAATGGTCTGCCGAAATTAGATTTTGGAAATGCAGGTAACCATTCTGCGTAGACATATATGTACATACTGAAACTCTATCATCCATTAAGAGCATTCACTTCCGATGTCAGCACGTTTTTTGCGATCTTCTTTAGCACCGGGCATGACTGGAAATCGTGTTCCTGCTGGTAATGCCGTTGCCAGGTCGGAAATATACTCTCTCGGTCAATTTTCTGTAGGTTCGACTCCTGAATGAAACAGGAGGCCGCTTACTACCTAGACTCTTTGAGTCTTGCTTGCAAATCTCTATAGTATTTGGTTTTCTAGGTGTCGCGCTCCCGTTGGTTTAATAGTATATCAGGGGAAAGTACCATCTGCTCCAACTCTTGTGGTTCGAAAAATGAGAAAAAATCTAGTTGCCAGACTTCACTTAAAAGAAGTAGTTTATTTCTGAACATTTCTTTGCCTGCGTTCAGTTTTATTTTCCTATCATTTAAGGTTGGCAAAGGATTGAATGAAGAAATTGATCTATATCGTCGTCTTCTACACGACTATTCCTTTGTTTTGTAAGTTTTATGTGGTTATGGTTTAGTAGTCTTATCGTCGTTGTAAAAGGCGCCTGTACCGCAGTGGTTGGAGGTGCCCTGCAATACAAATGAGATCGATGCCGAAGCTGAAGGTTCAACAAGCCTTCCATCCCTCCAAGGTCGGCAAATTGGTACCAGACTTGTCTGGGAGCATAACAGCACTGGTTCAGTGCATTGATAGGCCACCGCGAGTCCTTGTAAAGGCCAGATATGCATTCAGTCACCTCCAACGATGCTTAATGAAGTCGTATGCATGGCGCATCCCTCAGGGATTGGTTAACACCAAGAGCTTTATTGCTTTATCCGTTATCGTCGTTGCACACCTTTTTTTCTCATCACGAACACAAGTGCCATTTTTTTGCAGCTTTTATCACGTTCATATCAGTGATGCACGTTTTTTTTTGCATATTTTCGTCTTTTTTGAAGCATAAACTCTGCATATATATGTAGTTTAGGTTTCTGATGAGCGTGACTAGTCTTTATTTTGTTCTGGATGTTCCTTACGTCTTTTTTTATGATTACGCGGTTGAAAACTTACAGGTTTGCTACATCTTACTTGTATTTTTTTTAGATACAGAAGTAATACTGAATGCAAATTGCTGAGCTGCATAACTTATTTTTCATTTTTTTTTCTTTCTACGGTTTTTCTTTTCAGGTTGAACAAACTTCGGCAGCTTGGCTCACCTCCATTATTGGCGTAGCAAATCTTCTCTCAACTTGGATCTGTGGAGTGATCTCGGACGCTAAATGTGTTAAATCGGTTGCTTATTTGGGCGGTTGTTTGTTATTTTACCAGCTTTCTCAAATACACAGTGTTGCAGCGCCTTTTCACTGTTTACGGGATCGCTATGTGTGGTTTAACGGCTTGTATGTGGTTGGTCACGTTTGCTGAAGACACGTTGGGAATGGCGGTACGTTTGTATGAGAACTAAAAAGGATGTGGAATGGAATTCTTAAATGGTATGTGTGCTGCATAGGTCCACGGTACAAAAAACTTCTTGGCAAGTACCTATCCTGTAAAATAGCTGCTTGATTTTGTGCTATTTGCGTCAGCTTTTCGAGTAAACAACGGGTATTTGGGGCTTAATTTACATCAGCATATGTGACGGGAAACATTGTTTAATCCTCAGTGTGTTACTATGGCAGCAAGGTAAATACGTTGTTTTTGAAGAAATGTCGATAAGTGAATGTGCGCTGGATATTAACCATTTGGATTTTTTTATAACGCCAACGAGTTGACCTGAAATCGTCATCGAAATACTTTTACTGCCGTAGTTTGCATTTTCATTATTTCAATGCAACGTTCGTTAGGATCAAAATGGTATAAGTCGTGTCAGATTGGGAGGACATGTCCTTACTTTCAATTCAGTTTATCCATCAAATGCTTTTTCAGTTGATATGTGCATGTTTCGGGTTTTTTATCTCGTCAAACTATGTACTGCAATCAGTGATGCTTACATCGATGTGGGAAGACATGCGTAACTTCCAAAGTTCATACGCTCTAACGTCGTTTTGCGAAGGATTGGCCACATTGTTTGGTCCACCAGTGATAGGTTTGTGTCCTATCATCCTAGGGCTCTGTAGACTGGTAAGATCAACTCGATCGATGGACACAAAATGCATCACACTTCTTGTTTGATGTCCGTTTGTTTCTACTTTTTTTTTTGTGTTGCTAGCAACGATAGCTCGCTGAACCGTGTCTTCGAGTTTAAGTGTATCCTGTGATAGCATTTCGGGCTCTTTCAATGTAGATATATGGTTTATTTGATGAAGGCGACTCTGAACTACTTCCCTTATGTTCGTGCTCGTCAATTACTTGTCTCATTAGTTGCAAACTTTTAACGAAATCGATGCGCAGAACACAAGTAGTATATACGCAGCTACACCCACACACGTTTGGAGAGATACGTTTAGTTACATGTGTACAGATCGTTCACTTTTCCGTTTAAGAATTGCGGAGAAAGCGTAGTTTCGTATTTATACATATAACACTATTCTCTTTTTCTGTGATACTACAATGCCTAGCTCATTGCGTTCTGCGTTTTTCACTTTTTTGTGTAACAGTATTTTTCGTCATATAAATTGGGTGCTTTGTAATTAACGCACAATTTCTCTCCGTCGTAACTGAAATGAGATCTTGCGCAGGCATGAGCACTTTTGGTCTTTAATTTCTTAATTTCAGGTTACATACGTGATTGTACCGGTTCGTATAAGATGGTGTTCGTTATTTCCGGTTTTTTGTGCCTCTTAAGTGCAATCCTCTCATTTGTTGTACAGGTGGTCATCAATAATAGAACTGAGAAGCCTCGTCAGCCTTGATACCTTGATAGTCCTTGCTACTATAGTTTGCTATGTTTGTAACGGGCAATATGATTGATTTGATACAACCGGTAAATGGGCTGTAAAGAATTTAGGAAATTCAGCCATAATGTTTTAAAACTAGTCGTTTAGAACGTGACCTTTAGATAGGTTTAGGGTTATGCTTTAGTATGTATAAATTGAATATACACAATAACTTGTTTCTTATGCACTGGTTCGTTTGACCTTAAAGTATCTCATAGCTCTCGGTCTCATATTCTATTTGACAGTAAGTTATTTGAATAACTTATGGTATTTGAGGTGATTTAATGTACCAAGTGATGAGCTGTGCTCAAACAGGAAATGTGTCTAGGAAACGTGTCAGTTGTGTTAGATTAGTAATTTATATCATCAGATTTGTCGTCCTATTTGGAGCAGATTTTTAGGTGTGGATAAAGATTACTATTTATAAACTGTTGTATTTTGCATCTACAATTTGGAAAGGATTCATCTGTGATCCAACATAAATGGCACTCTGTTTTTTCCTAGAGACTAACGTATTCCACAGAACACAACGATTTAATTTCGAACAGTCTTGGTTCATTTGTAGCAATGGAGGTACATATAAAACTAAAGTGTTTAGCATTGCATCGGGTTGAGAAATGTGCATCAATATTCGCTAAAACATTTGTGAAGACAAATCTCAAACTTGCGTAATTGAACCGTTTATAACAATAACAATACAATAATGAGGGCATGAAAATACGGAAACAGTAAAAGGGACGGGACGGTGAATAGGGTCAATAATGGGGATAAGATAGTAAGTAAGAGGTTACCGTGAGGTAGGAGGGGAGCTGTTCCGTAGGCTAATGGAGTAGTTTAAGAAAGATACTTCTCATAAGATACAACTTTACCAAGAGGGGTAAGGGACAAGTGGTTCCACGGGAGAAGATGAGACCAAATGATTGGTAGCGATAGTTAATAGGCCGCGGAAGTAATGTGAGGAATAGTGTTACACAGAATACAATAACAACAGTACAATGAGGTTGTTATGGTAGGAAGCACATATAGGATTGAAATGGCAGCGTATAGACGATTATAAGGCTAGTAATAAGCGTTGTGAATGACAATTATTAATTCTGCTTATGTTCATGAAGAGTGTAAAAATTGGAAGCTACAGTGTGAAGTGGAGGTATTCAAGCGGATGAGTATGCTTAGGTTCAAGGAAACTACGGAGTGTCTGTCAATCGTTGGTTTTCCAAGCATGCAGGTGCGACGATGCAACGGAATTGTGATGGCCAGCTTAGTTCCAAGACAAGATCAATAGCTGCAAGAGAAGTCCTCAACAATGAATCAAAGTGGAATAATTCCATCATGAGAAGAGAAAAGAGATGCGGAGTGTTAGGAAAACGCCGCAGTGTGGACCTCACCAGCCAATCGCGGTCATTTTAGTAAGCTTGTGGGTGGACAATTGTTGTGCAGCTGTTGACCTCTAGATAGTCCTCATAGATCACTGTTGCAGCGGTAAATGGTTTGTATAAGGGCATGAGGAACATTCCGTCCTATCTGGTATTATCTGGTATTGATGTATACCTTTCTATTTCCATCGCTGCGGCTGCACCACAGATCTGCGCCGTAGGAAGTAGACAAGATTGGACAAGTACTGTTTACAGTGAGCGACTTGCTTGTTATTGTTGTTGTGGCAAATGCTTTGAATCAAATCTGAATAGGCATATATCACTAATAGAGGACATGAAGAATAAAATTACTCACTGCAGAAAATACTGTGTTCTATTAAAAGGTGTCCATTGGTCGACTTACTGGCACAATAAGCTTAGCTACCGAAGCGATGCCGTTCTATCATATCAGTGCTATAATGTTATAAGCAACATTGTTCATAAATATGGAATGTCCTGTATCCGTTCATACTGTATCGGACCGCTTAATCGTCTTCTGCGGTCAAAGTCCTCTGTAAACGTTCTCATGACGATCTCACAAATCATATGTCAATAAATCAATAAATCAAAGACTTGGTAGGCTCTTATCTCAAGTAAAACCTCACTACTAGCGTATTATCCGGGTCACCCTTCTTGAACAATAACACTGTCTTGTTAGTCGTCCAGCAAGTAGGAACCTTGCATTCAGACAGATAAGGACTGGCGAAAGGTTCTCCAGGCGTTCTGGTCTTATCCTCTCCAGACCTGGTACTGTTCGATTTTTTTCACCGACGAAATGGCATGTCGGATTTCGTAAGGGGGAACCGGTGGTGCAACATATCCATACTCCCTTACTTCATATGACGGAAGGTGGGCGTGGCTATCGAAGAAATCTGAGTAGTATTCGTGGATGGTTTTCTCCATTGCCTTTCTGGACGCTGTAACTGTGTCGTCTGGGCGTCCGAGTGCAATCATCTTGGCCTTATAATCGGCGAAGCTTCGGTGGGTTTTGCGAATACTGTTACAGGCGTCTGCAGCTTCGACCATTACTGCTGCTCTTCTGTCTTTGAGTTCTTCTTTTATCGTCTGTCTGCATTGTTTTGCAAGTTCAGATGTTAGTTTGCCGTTGCCTGCAGCTCGTGCGATTCCACGCTGGCGTATCAGCTCGTTCGAACTCTCAGCATTCATAGCGCTAACATGAAGATGTTGGATGTGCCTATCGTATTCTTCGTCGATGTTATCGACAGCGACATCTTCCCGACAGCCGACTAATGAATTGAATATGTCCCAGTTTATGGTGGTTCTAGGTCTTCAGTTTTTGAATTTATCGGCTTTTTCTCCTTTCTGCGAGAAATAGAATCTTGCACGAAGGAGACGGTGGTCTGATCTCGTGTAGAATTTTGGGACAACAGCGACATCGGTTAGGCAAAGCCTTCTATTTACTATGATGTGGTCTATTTCGTTATGGTACTCTCCATTGGGAGACTCCCACGTTCAGCGCTGAGGGTGGGGCTTCTGGAATTGCGAGTTACCACGGATGGTCTTGGTCGCCATGATAAACTCAGACAGCCGCTCACCCTGTTCGTTCCATTCTGTTTTCCAATGTGACGTTCTTTAGGCGTTCTTCTTCAATCTTGGCGTTGAAATCTTCAACGATGACGCTGAATAATGTATGGTCTTCTCTGTAGAACTTCTCCAAGTCCATATAGAGCGCTTGTACTTCTTCGTTATAGTTTGATATCGGCGCTTAAACGACGGTCAAAGCCGGTATTGATCCACATCTTTTTAATAGTAAACGACCGCTTCGGGTTGTAAGGTGTTCGAATGAATCGATGTGATCTGTTCATGGACAAACTCGTGTTGACGAGAGCGCCGACGCCGCCGACTCCTCTACTGTCGCATGTTCCAAGGAGCATTTGTTATCAGGTTTCACAGACGGCGTTAAATGGGTGGCGTCGTCTCGTCTGTGCCAGGCCGATGACGTCGTACCTTATCTTTCTTGGCTGCATGAGCAAGTCTTCTTTCGACGACTCGGATGCAAGTATGCGTGCATTGTAGGTATAGATCGTCACCTTAACTCTGTGCAATACAGGAAGCTTCCATTGGCCTTGAAATTTTAGCAGCCTCTCCATACTCGCCCTACCCAACGCTGCGAAATTGGGGCTCCTTCGGGCTCAGGGGAATGAAGCCCGTTTTTTTTACTGTGTTTAACATTTCGATACCCACGTATGGCTTGCTGGGCTCTGAACGTCGGGGCTGGGTATACTCACGGGTCGCTTACCAAGCTCTCCCAGAGTGAACATGTAGCCTAGTTGTTGGAGGCCACTCCTAACCGCCTCCCATATTCTTCCCTGTCATCTGCTTGCAGGTTTTTGGCCTAACTGACTCGTAGAATACAATTCGCATAAGCGAGAACACACCCACACATGCATGCATGAATACGCCTAGCAAATCCAGAAAGTATGTGCCAAATCGGCGCAGCAGAAACAGGAAGTCCATTTCCTGGATCCAGCTGCGTCTCAGGGAAGCAAAAGTCGCTTCTGTTCCGCGATTAACCCCTATCCGCCACTTGGGGACGAGCCACGTGGCCTCGCCACGAACCGGCTCGAGTTCCCTCATGTGAGGGAGATCCATGGTTGAGCGAGATTACCACATTTGATAGCTTTCTAATGTCGAAAATTGCAGAGAAGTTCCACATTGTGTGCCCTCAGATAGGTATTTTCAACTGAAATTTTCTCCTATCCGCATAACCACATTCACTGCTTAAATTCTGTCTGCCCACACTGAAGAAATGGTGTCACTTGGCAACACCACCGTTCACTGTATGCTATCTAACACAATATCTGCTGAAAGAGTGGACGAATCATTGAAAATCGAATAACAGCGGACAGTCAGGTTGATATGACTATATCAAGAACAACTGCTATTTGTAAAAGAGCGTCGCCGGTTGAAATTGCCCCTTGCAAACGGGGTTCCACTGAAGAAGATCCGTCACGGTACGAATACGAATACGCTGCATCGAGAAGACTAACAACTGTAGACCATCGACTCGGATCATCAGCTTCCATGAAGACGAAGGCGTCGAAACAATCGCCGAATAAAGCTAGTTGATCAACGTCGTGGAAGCTCCACAATTTAAACACATGTTGACTATTTTACTGCTGAAGTTGAATGATGGTCGGTTTGAAATCCATCTGTTGTTTTACTAGATAACTTCGTCAGAGGGTAGTCAGGTAATGGAAAGTATTTAAGTGGTTCCATCAGAACCCGCTTTCACGTCTATGAACTGTTTCCCTACGTTTAGTGCCGCTCATCTTATCTTTTAGAACGATATTTAGGACAAGATGACACTGATAACAACCCATTGTTAGCTTCTCAAACGTGTGCTGCTGAATAATTTTGAGTGGCTCGCCATTACGAAGCATAAGACTCTGAGCTCTTTATTAGTTTCGTTGTCTTTTTAACCACTAGGCGAACAATATGTGGGCTTTCTACTAGGTTGTTCTATGAGCTGTGGTCTTCTCCATTCATCGATGGATTCAATACAGCTTGGCGTTGTTCTTCGTCGAGTATCGCTATACCCGCGTTCTATGTATTCCTTCGTTTTCAGAACAGGTAACCGTTGCTCACTGTGGGAAGGAAGGATGTTTTTTGCTTTGTGACCAGAATTATTGCTTCACTAGGCGGATTACTGCAGCTACTTTGCCGGTTGACCATCCGACCAAGGACGGAATAAAATAGCGAATTCGGTATAGGTAATGTTGCTTGTGGTTGCTGGTTTTCGATGGAATGAATCTTTTTTCGGCAGTGCAAGCTAGTTGCTCTTTTTAACTCAGAAATCAGTAGTGTCGCGAAAATTAGAGAGATGCGACGTATCTGTCATTTGGGAACGACCTTTGCGGTTACAGTAATAAAATGTAAAATTATCATTGTATGAATCTCTAAAGCAGCCCAAATCTCGGGTAGAAATGACATTGGCAAACTGTAAAGAAAATAAAATAATCAACATTTGTTTATATTGTTGAGCTTACACGGGGCATCAGGTGCTCAACTGAGGAGGATCCAGTTCGATGCGGCACGAAGACGCCACATCGAGAAGAGGAACAGCTGCGAACCATCGACAAGGATCGTCGGCTCTGATGAAGACGAAGACGTCGAAACGTTAGCCGAATAAACATCTCTTATCAACTTCGTGTACGCTCAACAATATAAACAAATGTTGAGTATTTTATGACCAAGGTTTAATGACGGTCAGTTTCGAAAGTAATCGAAAGAAAATTGTTCATTGGCGATGTGGAAAGGAAGGTAGTAAATTTTCCATCCAAGCCACATAAATTTTGGATATTCGGACCGTATTGTGTATATATATATATATATTTATCATATCTCACAGTTGTTCCTTCACCAATAACAAGTACTTCAGTGATAGCTCCGCTTTCTAATAACTGATTGCACTGATCATAGAGGTGGCAAGGTCGGTGCTTGGGAATAAATAAACGATGCATTATTACGCTAATATTTTAGGCCAAGATCAATCTCTGATATACCAGTTTAAAAACGACAAATTAATTTACTCCCTAGAAGTGGAACGTTCTTTCATAATGGCCGTGGATGGCATGCGTTCACAATTTGCTTTAATGAACATAATGGTTAGATGTGGTTATAAAAGTATAGCAGTCATCGACAGATTTGCAGAATTTCTACGACTGTTTATGCCTTGAGGTCCATAATAAGGTCACCCTCACTGGTGAGCATTTTAGTGACATAGGTCTAAGAAAGCTGTCGGCGTTGATCAATCCCTGAGCGATGCGCCATGCATTCAACTTCATTAAACATCGTTGGAGGTGACTGAATGCATAACAGGCCTTTTCCTGCGGTGGCCTACCGATGTATCGACCCAGTGCTGCCGTCCTTTCAGACAAGTCTGGTACTAATTTGCCGACCCCAAATCCCCCAATCCTTTAATTAGTGACAAAATGTATGAAAGAAAAGCCGAAATAAGATATTCCTCACGTTTGTGATACAACTGTTAATTTGGAAACTTCTTATCGCAAGAGTCGAAACCCGTTAGCAATGAGTTGACAGGGAAATTTCCATGGTCCACCAACGAGCAACACAGGCTGCTTTCAGTTACTTCATCATCAAAAACAGCTAATATAAAGGTGTATGATTCCGTTCTTAGAACGAAATAAATATTTCTAAAATAACGCCTTCTTCAGTAAGCCGGCGAGGTTGATAATACAGTATGAGCACCAGAATTGAGCAGAAAGAAGCGAGCAGTTTCGCGAGGTCTCGAAAGCATCAGATGTAGTGAGAATAACAAAGAACACCCGAGACAACGCACTCACTTTTTCGGCCCTCGATTCTTCTTGCCTTGTTTGCGTCAGAAACCTGGTTGTTACCTAAGTTGGATGAAAGATCATAGAGCATCATAGAACACGTATCGAAGAGTCGATACAGTAAGTTGACATCAACTCGATTTTCCTCCATGCATGTGTGGAAGTCGTTAGACTCTAATTCTATGTGCTAAGAATATGACATTAGATTTTCAGACTGTCTGCGTTGAAAAACAGAACACGTATAAACGTCATTCCATAAGGACTTCTGTCCCATCCAATAACAACGTTCGTGATCAAAATCGTGCTAGCAGAAAGCAAAAAAAAAACTAAGATAAACGAAACCAGTCAAGCTGTAAGGGAAAAAGAGAGGGATACGATAAGGCCACCTCTATTAGCGTGTCGAGATGTTCACCAGAAATCCATCTTCGTGCTTGCAATGCTCAAAAGGCAAAGGTGGCATAATGCTGTTCATTGAAGAGTATACTCAGTTTTATTTTACTTTAACAACACAAACTAACTTTTTCAAAACCAATGACACAGCTAAACAAGTGTACCTACAATGGTACGGAGAATTATACACAAAGGCTATTGAACCTGCACAAATGACAATTTCAACACGAACACAAATAAACCGAAACCTCGCTAAAAACAGAGATAAGACAGTTTGAATTACAATCTACATAATTTACAAGGTAGAATTAGCAATTTATAACAGAATACAACATAAACGATTGAAAGATCTCATAGAGTTCGAGGGTAATGCCTGTGACCACTGCTCATTCCGTGCTTCCTGTTGAAATAGTACTGGAATCAGCAGAAATTATAAGCATGAATTCGAAGATTTCCTGGTATTAAAAAGATGCGCTTTTGTTGTTCACCACTTACGGACGTCAGCTTGTGCAAAGATAAGAATAACACAGATCTCTGACCTGATCACGCGGTACCAATCGTTAAAGGCTTTGTTTAAGACGGCACACTGATCGGGATCGAAGCCAAGACGAGCAAATGTCTAAAACTATTTCTTGAACAAAAAGCTCTATTCACTCATAAATAAACAAGCACGCTTGTTTTGAAGTCATCAGCAGGAAAGTCGTTAGTTAAGGCGCGAGTAGACAGCAAGAACCTCGTGTGTTCGGATAGGAATATTACTGGTAACTAGTGCTGATACTATGAAGCGTACAGAAAGCGGCAAAGAGTACAGCGGACTAAAAAGATATCAATAGCGAATTCACTGACATCATGGCGATAAACACTAGCGAGATCACCCAGCGTGAAGATCGACTGACTTTCGAACTTGTCAGCATGCGAAGCAAGTCCTATGCTTCGTTTAGTGAGCCACCTAAACCTTAAGAGATGGAAACTAGTCACAAAACTGTCGGACTCGGAAATTCATTCCGGCAGTTACCTGCCGATGTTTTACCAGAATATTTAATAGAAAACATAAAGCCTAATCATTAAAATTACGCACGCTTTGATAAGAGTGCCGCGTGTTACCACACAGATATCTTGGAATGGATTTCCGTCTATCTCCATGCAAATCAATTCATCGAACTTCTCCTCGTGCTGTAGGAACCACAGGCATTTACACGCCTTTACTGGGTCGTTGAACTACAACGATTTGTAAATGTCAACAAAAATGTGTAAAAAAACACTATGAACCAGTGCATTAACTGAAGCTTCTCGTTGCGAAAGGAAGCAAACATACATGAAATTCGACTTGATGGCTAGGGCCAACAGGGCGCTCTTTGAAAAAGACACGATTCCTTTTACCATTACCAGCTCTCTGAAGCTTCTGACGCTCAATCAATTCGTGTGGACAGAAAATGTGTAAAGGAAAACATCATGAACTGGTACATTAACTCGAGCTTCTCGTTGTGAGAGAAAGCAAACCTACATGAGATTCGGTCTGACGGCTAGGACCAACAGGGTGCTCTTCAAAATGGACACGCTTGCTTTTACCATTACCAGCTCTCTGAAGCATCTCACGTTTGGTCAATTTGTTAACTTCGACAAAAAT